CCCGGAGCGATCGGCACTCACCTTGTCCCGCAGAGCGACCACCAGCACAGCCTCCGGACGAAGGTCAGGGCCGGGGACGCCATAACCAGGGGAAAAGCAGGCGGGAGGCGGGAGGAGACGGAAAACCCCGCCCCGCCGGGCCCTCAGCCGGGCGGTGGCAGCCGCCCGCCCCAGCCCGGGGACGGAGCCACCTCCAAGGCCGCGGAGAGGGCGGCCTGAGGGCGGGGCCGGGGTAAATCTCCGTCCTGTCGGTAAAAGCAGGCGGGCACCGCTGTATGTGGCAGTGCTCTGTAGTTATGCCCTGGAACCACAGATTCGTCTGAAATCACCGGCTCCAAGTTACAACCCAACACCACTTTACCAGCTAGACCATGGCACCAGGTGAACTAGCTGAACTTAATGCAGTTGTTTCTTGAACGCCTCCAGGAATGGTGACGCCACCACCTCCCTGGACAGCCCATTCCAGTGTCTTCACTTTTTCCGTGAAAAAAATTCTTCATAATGTCCAACCTGAAGCTTTCCTGGTGCAGCTTGAGGCTACATCCTCTCATGCTATCACTGGTAGCCTGGGAGAAGAAGCCAATCCCACCTGGCTTCAACCTCCTTTCAGGCAGCTGTACAGAGTGATAAGGCCAGCCTTGAGTCTCCTCCTCTCCAGCCTAAGCACCTCTAGCTCCCAAAGTACTGATAATAAATGATGGAGAGCCAGCTCCCCCAGGACCTTTGGATAACTCCCATCCCGTCCCTTAAACTTGGGAGTGTCTAAAGGTGCTTTAGGAGCTGCTCAGGACCTTAAACTCACTGACAGCAAGGGTAACAAGAAGACCAGGCAGTTCCATATGCTGCAAATTCTGCAGGGTGAGAAATGGAACCAGCTGTGGTGTAACCCTGGTGGTCGGCCAAGGTCACCAGAGCAGCCAATGGAAAATGAATTGGTAGGAAACCAGAACCCTTTCAGGAGCAAAAGTAGTGAACTTGTCTCAGTCCCTGCAGAAGCAGCTTGTAGTGGGCTAATTGCATCATTAATTACATCCACTTAATGTATTAACTTTGTATTTAGGAAGCTCCTAAAATGTTTGTGTTGTTGTTTGTACAGACAAATCACTTGACAGGCTGCTGGTTTGCTTAGGTGTCTCTACCTCAGTGGCACTGTCACCATGCAAGGGCAGAATAAACACTATTGTCCGCTCCATCTAACTTAAAAGATATCACTATTGCTCAGCTTTTGCTTTTTCATCTTCAGCTCCTGAAGGCATATTTAGTTTTCCCTTACCAGTGTTACCTGCTCTGTGAAAGATGTTTCTGTGTTTGCATAAGTATTCTGAAGATCCTCACAATTCAGGTATCATTCAGATCTGATAGTTTCTTTTCAAATGACATATAATAAAATCACCTTTTAGTCCTGGGGCTTTCCCCTCCCCCTCCCCAAAACTAATTGCATTTAAGACTCTCCTTAAGGATAAATGTTTTGAAGTTGCTAATGACCTGCAGGGTTCTCTTTCCTTAAGTGTTTGATTAGAGTTTTCCAAATAGTATGTAACTGTTAGAGTCTAATTATCAGGATGGCAGATTTTTCTCCTCATACTGTGAAGGTCGTGATGTGTGTCCTGGGTCAAATCACATGTAGCTGACTTTTTTTAATGTAGCCTTGGGAGTAGCAATATCCATCTTTGCTACACTAGACTGTGATGTGAAATTATTTTATATTTGCAGAAGACTTTAAAAGCACTCTCCTGAAGGTGTTACAGTAAATGCTTCTGTTGATCCATATCCTTATTTTCCCCTAATCAAGCAAAACTCATGGCTTACAAGTATATAACTTGTTAGAGACAATATTTTGAACTCTGGGCTAAGTTTTGCTCTGAGATATAGGTTTGAGGCTTATTCTGTGAATAACAGGAGAATTTGGCTCTAAAATGCTAGCATTTGTTTTGTCCAATTATAGGAACTTTTTTTTTTTTTAAACTAAAACCTTATGAACACAACAATTTTGGTCTTGTTATTTGTAAAGGCCAGAAAAATCACTACATAAATGTAACATTTTTAATATCTGTTGAAAGTTTACTGTAGTAGTATTGTTAGCACTAAAGTAATGAATCTAGAGAGGGCTCCCTAGAGAACTCATTTAGTAATTTGCTTCAGATTTATTGTTTGACAAACAAGTCCCTCATGGCAATGCCCTCTCTAGCATTTTGTTATTAATGGTAAGATGAAGATTTTTTTTCCTCGCTGCACTTTTATCCTGGGTAAAATTGTCATGTTCTTTCCTTTAGTTCATCTTCACATTTTCTGCTACTGCCTAGAAGTCTAATTTTGCTTAATTTCTTTATGCTGAATGTATGTCAGTTTAAATAGGCCAGGCTTTTTAATAAAGTCACACTGGAACTTCTGAAAATACATTAACATTTTTCAGTTTTGCCCAAAGACTTCAAGAAGGCGTCTTTGCATTCAAAGACGGATTGCATACTATAGGATTAAACACAGACACCACCGTATTCCGTGCCTACAGAGGGGGGCATAGAGAAATGGTAACCTCAGCAACTTCTTTTTCTCATCACCTCTCTAAGATACAGATCACAATCCATGTATTGTGTCTACAAGACTGTAATTTGCTGTATGTGTCTGTCTCTAGAAACCTATACCTCCAGATGTCCTCCTACTTTTTGTCTTGTCTCTTTTTACTTCTCTAGTTTTTCTCTCAACTTCTTTGCATTCATCTCACTGTTCAGGTGAGCTAAAACATAATCAATCCCCCATTTTAGGAATAGCTTATCACATAAACCTCTTTCTGTCCTATGGGTGGTGTTATATTTTCCTTACATATGTAATATGGTTTCTTTTCTTAGCATGTTTTTAACTGTTTCTTCTTTGTGATGCATTCTTATTACTGGAATTGTGATCTTGTGGGAGCAAGGCCACCAACCTCACAGCTTTCAGTGTGGCTCAATGTTTATGCACTTTTGTTCTGTCCCTTTATGCATGGGCACATATGTATGTGCTAGAGAAAACACCAGGCCTTTCTTATGAAACATCAAATCATGCACTAAGTTTTCAGACCACCAGATCCTGATGTTTTGTATGCAGAATGATTGCCTGTTGCAGTCTATACTTACATGCTTTGTGTTTCAGTATAACTGCAGGTTCTCTGGTGTATTGGTACAAGTCTGAACAAGAAGTGATTTGCGTAACTTTGTGGTGGAAGGGAGGAATGGAGATGACACAATCAAAGCTGATTTTGGTATGCTGAGGTGATCATTCTATCATTTGTATCACCAGTTTCTTCTTCTTCAGTTGTGCAATATTCTACACTCTGACCAGCACAACTATCTTTTTTTTTTCTTTTTATTTCATCTTTGTAATAAGTTTTGTAGTCTTTCTGTTGGGTTTGATTGTTTTTCCTGTAGATTTTCTAGAATAAGCTTTTTATAATGTTACTGGACTTCTTTACCATGAATTACCATAAGGCAGCTGTTTTCTCCTTGATGGAAATGTTTATCCAGAAAGTGGATGTGTTGTGTACTTTATTATTCAGAACTTGATTTCCATGACAAATGGTTTTCCACTTGAAAACCAGTCCAATAAATCCTTCAAGAGTTACTTTGTGATGATATTAGCATGGTTTTTGCATTGATGATGACAACTTGTTTCACACATGTGGGAGAGGAGTTTTCATAGTTTTGCTGCTACAGTATAGAGAATGACAATGTTAGCAAAGGGCATTAATCACTGACGTTTTGTAACCTCCTGTTTATGTGGGCCCTGGTTTTTCCTCAGCAGGAAAAGTATGCTCAGACACTCAAGAAGGAATTACACTTGAACCTATTTACTTAAGCAGAGTTTTTTTTACCAACAGAGAAATATAAACATGAGACTTAATCAGGAGCTCACAAATTATGCTCCACTTTTCTTGGTTGGTTTGCTGGTTCAATCTCATGCAATCATTAATTCTGGAGGAATAGCCTTTTTGCAGCATTGTGCTTACTTTGGATCTAAAATACCAAGTTCTTGG